CTGAGGGTTGTCTTTTGGTCTTGATTATGGTTTCCTTTGCTGTGCAAAAGCTTTGAAGTTTCATTAGAACAGAATATTTCTTGATTGTTCCCATAAAACATGCTGGCTCAGTGTTTTGTTTTTGTTTTTGTTTTAGCATTGCTGATGATGGTCATATGCATTTTCTTCTTGGTTCTATAATATGACGATACAGGTAATAATATTAACTTAACTTACATTTCTAGAATAAAGCCACTTGGTAATGATCTACTATTTTTTAAGGAACTACCGAGGTTTTCTTTTATTGAAGAATAGTTGATTTACAATATTATATTAGTTTCAAGTATACAACATAGTGATTCAATATTTATATAGATTACACTCTAAAGTTATCAGAAAATAATGGGTATATTTCCCTGTGCTGCCCAATTTTTCCTTGTTGCTTATTTATTTTATACATAGTACTTTGTATATCTTAATACTATACCCCAATCTTGACCCTCCTCCCTTCCCTCTCCCCACTGGTAACCACTGGTTTGTTCTCTACATCTGTAAGTCTGTTTCTGTTTTGTTATATACATTCATTTGTTTTATTTTTAAGATTCCACATATAAGTGATAACACAGAGTATTTGTCTTTCTTTGCCTGACTTGTTTCACTAAGCATTCTACCCTCTAGATCCATCCATGTTGTTGCAAATGGCATTATTTCATTCATTTTTATGGCTGAGTAATATTTCATTGTATATATAAAGAGAGCATACCTTTATTCATCTGCTAATGGACACTTAGGTTGTTTCCATATCTTGGTTATTGTACATAATGCTGCTAAGAACATTGGAGTGCATGTATATTTTAGAATTACTGGTTTCATTTTCTTCACATATATCCCCAGAAGTGAAATTGCTGGTAGTTCTATTTTTAGTGTTTTGTGGAACCACCTTACTGTTTTCCATAGTGGCTGCACTAATTTACATTCCCACCAACAGTGTACAAGTGTTCCCTTTTCTCCACATCCTTGCCAACATTTGTTATTTGTAGACATTCACACATTCTGGCAGGTGTGAAGTGATATCTCATTGTGGTTTTGATTTGCAGTTCTCTGATCATTAGTGATATTGAGCATTTTTCATGTGCTTGTTGGTCATCAGTACATCTTCTTTGGAAAAATTTCTATTCAGGTCTTCTGTCCATTTTTAAATTGAGTTGTTTGGTTTTTTTGGTATTGAGTTATATGAGCTGTTTATATATTTTGGATATTAACCTCTTATTGGTCATATCATTTGCAAATATTTTCTCCCATTCAGTAGGTTGTCTTTACATTTTGTCAATGGTTTCCTTGGCTGTTCAAAGCTTTTAAGTTTAATGAGGTTCCAACCAAAAAAAGTATTGCCATGATTTATGTCAAAGACTGTTTTGCCTCTGTTCTCTTCTAAGAGTTTTATGGTTTCCAGTCCTACATTTAGATCTTTAATACATTTTGAGTTTATTTTTGTATATGATGTGAGAAAATATTCTAATCTCATTATTTTACATGTAGCTGTCCAGTTTTCCCAGCACCACTTATTGAAGAGACTATCTTTTCTCCATTGTATATTCTTGTCACTTTTGCCACATATTAATTAACCATAAGTGTGTGGCTGTATTTCTGAGTTCTCCATTCTGTTGCATTAATCTATGTGTCTGTTTCTGTTCCAGTATTATGCTGTTTTAATTGTTGTAGCTTTGTGGTATAGTCTGAAGTCAGGGAGCATGATACCTCCAGCTTTGTTCTTTCTTCTCAAAATTGCCTTGGCAATTTGGGGTCTTTTATGGTTGCATATACATTTTAGGGTTATTTGTTCTAGTTCTGTGAAAAATGTCACATTTAATAGGGGTTGCAATCAATCTGTAGATCCTTTGGGCAGAATTTTAACAATACTAATTCTTCCAATCCAAGAACAAAGGATATCTTAGTTTGCAGCACAGGGGATCTCTCATTGAGACACATGAGCTCAATAGCTGCAGAGCACAGGCTTAGTTCCTCCGCGGCATGTGGGATCTTAGTTCCCCGACCAGGGACCGAACCTGCACCCTCTGCATTGGAGGGCGGATTCTTTACCATTGGACCACCAGTGGAGTCCCTATCTTTCAATTTTTAAATCACCTTCAGTTTCCTTCATCAGTGCTTTATGATTTTCAGAATATTGATTTTTCACCTCCTTGGGTAAAATTTTTGCTAGGTATTTTATTCTATTTGATGTGATTTTAAACAGGATTGTTTTCTTGCTTTCTCTTTCTGATATTTTATTATTAGTGTAAAGAAATGCAACATACTTCTATGTATTAATCTTATATCACAAAACTTTGCTGAATTCATTTATTAGTCCTAATAGTTTTGGGTCGAGATTTTAGGGTTTTCTATGTATTGTATTATATCATACAATATACTTCCTTCCAATTTTACTTCTTCCTTTTCCATTTGGATGCCTTTTATTTATTTTTCTTGTCTTATTGCTGTGCCTAGGCTTCACCTCTGCTCAATGGCCATCAGCACCCTATCCAGGGTGAGAGTGGGTCCCAAGTTGCTGGAGTAGAAGCCCTGACTGTTGGGTTTGAGCTGACTCTGTTCCCTTTAAGTGTGCGCTCTCCCCTCTCCCAGAATTGGCATCTTCAACCCAGACGGGAGTAGTGCTGGAGCAAGAGGGGCTGGTGCAAGTGCTCAGCATGGATCTGGACATGGACAGTGGCTGCCCTGATCACATTCAGTGATGTGGATGGCTTCTGATGTGCTGCCTGTTTAAGCACCAGTAGTGACTGTCCCCTGCCCTGCTCAGATGCTACTCCAGGTCTGAGTTGCCTTTATCCCTCACTGCTGAGCTCTCCCCTCAGCCACTGCCACTCTTGTCCTGGTCATATTGTAGAGCTGTGTCATGAAACAGGCAGGGCCAGAGAAGATGCTTAGCTCAGGCAGGCGCATTCTCCAGAGAGGCTGCGGGAAACCTGCAGTTTCAATCCACCCCCCTACCCTGTTAAAGGAATAAGCAAGCATGTGCGTGCTTCTCATGAGTGGGGTCCAGGTTTCCCTCAGCCCGTCTGTTAGTCACTGCCCCTCCAACAAAGCAAAGGGACTTGTCTTACCTGCGTCTGACCCCAGGGCGGTGGTGCCCAGTATGTGGCTTGAACTGCTCACTCCCCAGGGAGAATCTCCACCCAAGCGATGTTCCTCTTCTTCTGAGTCCCCTCCCAGGAGCACAGTTCACAACCTGATTCCTTCTCCTCCCTTTCTACCCGATTCCTTGTGTTCCTTTGTTATAGCCCTGGTTGTACAGGAATCTTTCTTCCAGTCTCTGGTTAGTTTTTGTTCCACGGGTAGATGTATGATTGATACATTCATGGGGGAGGTGAGTTCTACATCTTTCTACTCGGCCATCTTGGTCTCCTCTCAGGAACTACTGAGTTTTATTTGCTAATATTTTATTTTGGATTTTGAACTTTATTAATAAATGAGATTGGTTTATAGATTTCCTTGTTTGTGATCTTTGTCATTCCTTTGGTATAAATGTTTTACTTGCTTTATTAAATGCACTTAGGGACTTTCCTCCTTCTCTATGATCTGAAACAATTTAAATAACATTGGAATTATATGTTCTCTAAAGATTTTATAGAATTCTTCCAGGAAAACGTTTGAAGAAACAAAAGCAACTTTTGGACTACTTTATTTATTTTTTGGAAATCTATCTGCCTAGATTTTTTTTTTCTAATCTTTTGGTTAAGTTTTGGTAAGTTATATTTTTCAAAATATTCTTTATATTATTCAGGTTTTCAAAGTTATTTGCATAGAATTAAACAAACAAACAAATGAAAACCCCCAAACCTCATGATTTTTTAAATTTCCCCTTTTTCTGTGGATCTACCTTACATTGTGGTCTGAAAGTTGTATAAGCTCATTTCCATGAACTGAAAGATTAAATTATTTTTATTTCCAGTTTTTGAAAGAAGAAATTCCAGTAAAATGTTAAGCTTCTGGGCTTTATTTAATTCTTGCCACAAGAATCTATCTATCTATCTGCATGATAGATTTATCCTGATGACAATTCTATCCTCTTATGAATATTAAAGTCTACTTTAACTGGATTTAAATGAAATTCTTTCCTAGAAGGACATCTTGGTGATGATGTACTGAGTATTTTAACCGTTCAAAAACGGTCACAAGCTCTTTACAATCCCTCCAGAGAGTGCATAAGAAGACATAACTCATTCTATAAACAATACTTTGACAGTATGAAAATGGCCCTTATGCATTGAAGAATTAGTTCAATTAATACCAGTCTTCAATTAAGTAAGAAATTTTACTTTAAAATCCAGCTAGTGTTCGCTTTTGATTGTTTATTCCATAACAGTTGCTGTCTTTTAAATGAATTCAGCAGGCTGCCAGCCTGTTCCTCACGTTAATTTTTTCAAGCATTTGATATGTTGCCAGAGCATGTTCTGCCATTACAAAATCATTCAGTAACAGATTTTCAACAACCAGTTTCTAAGAAGGAAGAAAGAAGGGAAGGGAGAAAAAGAAAGAGGGAGAGAGACAATGACAAACCAAGGACAAATCCTATGAAATCCCTTCTGTTCCCATTTTTTAATTGTTTCTTGCCTTATTTTGCCATCCCAGTAACATTTGTTAAGAATGTGATAATACATTAAAGGCTACTATATCTTAATATCACCTCAATAACAACTTTTCATAAATTCTTCAATTTTAACTTAGGACTCTTAAGGAAGGGTAGATGTCCACAGCAGCAAAATTGACAGAGGTGCCCTTTAAAAGAACCAGGAACAACATCTTCAGTGCACTGGTCACGTCAGCTCTTTTCTGAGCATAATGATCAGGGATACAAAGCAATGACAGGAATTGTTACTGACTTTCTCAGTGAACTTCTCAGGCTGAAGGGCATTCTGTGGAAGAAGCAGAAATGATGGAAGGTTAGCAATTATTTTAGCTCCACGGTTAGATTATCTGTGGTCTTGTTTAAGGTGATCATAGTTATTGTTTTCTTCATTAGGCAATCAAAGCAAGAAAGAAAATGTTCCTTAACCAATAGAAGCAGATAAAATATTTTCCAAACCTTCTTTTGGAAGAATATACTGAAAAGAAGAAGCTAATTTACAAATTAATGGGACTAAATACAACTTGTAATTGTTAGCTGATAGAGGCCCTGGCTTCAGCCCTGACGGCCAGGTTGGTGGGTTTCTTCATTAGATTTCACCAAGAAAAATTTATATCTTGCCTACTGTGAAGAGATGAGAGTATAGGAAGTAAATGATGAAAAAAAAACAATGGTTTTTTTTTTTCATTTTCTTTTTTTTTTCTTTTAAATGTTAGTAGTTAGATAATTACACTTAAATATTGACTGGCTCTTTTACATACACAAAAAGGACAGTATTATACTTAAATGTCAATCTCATCCTCTGAACTATGTCTTTTTATGAATAATTCTTTCCCCTCATTTTTAGAAGTTTAGGAATTTGCTCCAAAATTTATATTACTAAGGGTTTTACATTAATTAATGATTTACATTATTTTTAATCATTTGTATCCCTGTGAGAATCTGACAAAATCTTATGCTTACAGATGACTATTATTCAATAATGACAAAAATAGAAATGATATCCTCAAGAGGTTTATAATTAATTTCAGGAGTGTTTTCAGCTTAGTTCCCTGCATCTCAGTAACCTCACCTACAAAATAAAAAGATTTGGATGAATAATTTTGAGGGATAATTCTGTTCCTAAAATATCTTTCTTATATTTATATAGTTTAAATAGACTATTTTTTTTCTTCTTTAACTTGGTAACCCACTTTAATTGGCACCTGAAGCAAGATTTTCTTTCAATGTTTATGATGTTTCACTATCAACTTTTTCTGTAATTATATTCCCATATTTTATTTTATTTTTTTAAATTGTGATATAATTGACGTATAAGTTTATATTAGTTGCAGGTATATAACATAATGATTTGATGTATGTGTTTATTGAAAAATTATCACCACAATAGGTTTAGCTAACATCCATTGGCACACAGTTATAATTATTTTTTCCTGTAATAAAAACTTTTAAGATCTACTCTCTTAGCAACTTTCAAATACACAATGCCTATTATTACCTGTAGTCCCAGATTTTAAAGGACACTATCTATTCCCACCTCTTTGGCCATAGAGGATAGTTCCTTTTGATGATCTGTAAGTTGGCAAACCACTGATGAATTTTGATCATTTACCCAAAGTGTGTCTCTCTCTCCATTGAGGTAAAGTTCATTTACTCACGTCTGACATTTGTCACAGAAGAGACATCCGTGCTTCAGAAGGTTCAGAGAGCATCCAAAGTGTTCATAGTGATGTGGAGATGGCTGTCACGCAAACAGACAACAATGTTTAGGAATCAGTCTGGAAAGATGATTTGCTGAGTAGTTAAATTTGATAATTTGTTAAAAATTAAAATACTAAAGTCGATAATCACAGGAAGAGGGCACAAGAGATAAGTATAACCATTCAGTGTTAATAGTGTGATACTGAGAGGAAACATTTTCACTGTTACTCCATGAAGTGCACCCTTATCTAGTTTTCATTTCCATGGCTGGAGCTCCCAGGGATCAAGCCAGTTACAGTATAAGTCGAAGCCAACACTGAAACTCAAAAAAGTAAACGTAGGGAAACTAAAAGGAAGAATTACAATACCCAACCTAGACTAGTACTTTACTTGCAAAATGTGGCAAGTATTGTAGTCTGTCCCCCGTATTTGTTCTCCCTTTCTTTCATGGTAATTGAAATAAATTACCAAAATGGAAGCCTACATTTTCTTTCTGTTGGGCAAATGGTTTTGGACATTAAAACTGGGTTTCCCAGCCTTCCTTGCTGTTTGGTGTGGTCATGTGATTATGTTCTTAGATGAGATGGGAGTGGAAGTTTGCTCTGGCAGCTTCTCTAATCCTCCTTACGAATAAGCTCAGGCACACCTGCCGCTGCTTGTCTCTTCCTCCTTCCTACTGCCTGGGACACAGCTGTGATGGCTGTACCACGAAGATACAGGCACACACAATGGAAGTAGCCTCGTTAGCGGGCAAAGGCTGGGTCACCGTGGATTAGTGCTGCCATATCAACCCTGCATTGTGCACCTCTGGACTTTACATGAAAGGTATAGAATTTTATCTTGTTTAAGCCATTGGTATTCTGGGACTCTGCAACATGTAGTGAAACCCAATCTCAACAAATATGTATGGCAAGTCAAAATATAATGAAATTTTGGGAATTCCCTGGCTGTTCAGTGGTTAGGATTCCACGCTTTCACTGCACAGGGCACAGGTTCGATCCCTGGTTAGGGAGCTAAGATCCCACAAGCCGCACGGCGCAGCCAGAAAGAGAAAAAGAAAAGAAAAAAGTATACATACGATGAAATTTTGTAAAAGATTTATGGGTGTGACAGATCAAACATGGCTCTGAAAGTATGAGAAAGAGTTCTAGTATGTTCCTTATGTGCAGGTTGAGAGCCAGAATCTCAGGTGTCATCCCGTAAACCATCCCTGTGGTCTTAATTGGGGCCTAATCCTATTCTGGCTGATCATAGATCTGATTTACAGTATTAATTCCTATTAACTTCTGGGGGTTTTATGCAGAACATCCTAATAGCTAAGACTAATGCCCCAAAATATTTGTAAGTAATTCTAATCAAGTCTTCTCCATACTTAGCTGAGAACATGTCTCTTTTCCAGGTGATCCTATGTGTATAAAACATCTGTGAAAGACTGCTTCTCCTGGGTATGGGGGTAAAAATTTGACTAATGTGTTTGATTGATTAAACCATTTTAGCTCAGCGTTGCACTGACTGAATGAATGTTAGCAGTAGATGTTCTACTGTAGTCTCAGGGATAAATATTCAGAAGGTAATGGAATTTTCCACCACTTCTGTATCGGTTAGGATCTGTCCAGCTCTTACTGTTGTCATTGTTTTGCATTTCCTAAATGTATCAGAGACCTCTATCATTTATATTGATTTCCTTTGTTCACCTGAGGAATTTTGACAGAAACAAAAATAGTCTACAAACATTTAAAAACTCTCTTCCTCGAAATCCCCTATTGTTATCTCTCAGGTTGGCAGAAAAAGGAAAGCTTCCTTGAATATTTCAGGATATCCTTTCTTCTCCTAGTTTCTTGTTCTTGCACATGGAAGGCAGTTTCCTAGCTTAGTGTTTGTTATGTGTACAAATCCCACTTTGTTCACTGACATCAGTGAATCAAAACAGTTTTTTATTTCTTCTTTTAAGCAACACCATCTCCCATCTCGCCTTGCAGTCACTAACTGTAGCATTTTTTTTTTCATTTTAATCTCACACACTAATGACATTGTCCATTTCTACTTTCAGTAATTTACTTGCCTTACTTGGCACTAATTTATTATCTTGCTTCACTATGTACCATTGTCGGTGGGAATGTAAAATGGGGCAGCCACTGGGGAAAACAATGTGGTAGTTAGTTCCTCAGGAATTTAAATATAGAGTACAATATGACCCAACAATTCTACTCCTTAGTATTACCCAAGAGAAATGAAAACATATGCCCACATAAACTTGTATATGAACATTTATAACAGCATTATTCATGATAGCCAAAAAATGGAAACAAGTGAAATTTCCACCAACTGATGAATGGATAAACAAATGGGGTATATTCACACACTGGAATATTATTCAGCCATAGGAAGGAATGAAGTCCTGATACAGGCTGTAGCCTGTATCATAGACGAAAACAGAAAACATCATGTTAAGTGAAGGGAGCCAGAAGCAAAAAGTCATATATTGTGATTCTATATTTATGAAATTTTCAGAAAAGGCAAATCAATAGACACAGTAAGTGGATTAGTGGTTGCCAGGGGCTTGGGAAGGGAGGAGAAAGGGGACTAATGGGAAGAGGGTTTCTTTTGAGGATTGTGATAATTTTCTGTTATACAACTTTGTGATGGTTGTACAACTTTGTGAATATATTTAAAAAAACCACTGATTCGTAAATTTTAAAAAATAAACTAAAAAATCGTATATAAAAACTTGTCATCTCGCTAACTAGAAACATTCATTCTGAGAAGGGTATGAGATGAGGCATTAGAAGGGAAAAATAATCTGACAGATATTGTATCATGTCATCTCGAGCAGAAGGAAAAGGAGAAAGTGGGGGGCTGTGGTGGTATGATGAATTGGGAGATTGAGATTGATATATAAACACAATATGTATAAAATAGATAACTAATAAGAACCTGCTATATAACTAAATAAATAAGAAGGAAAAGGAAATCTTCCCAGGTCCCTTTCCCTTCATTCTCTAGCTCTGTTCTTCCTGAAGCTGCAGGAGGAGAGGGGAAGCAGCATTGAGGCAAGAGTGACAGAGCACATAGCAATCACCTGTTACACCCAGACCCGTCACTGGGGTAGAAAAATTCAGGATAATCACTCCAGGCTGGTCAGTGACAGTTACAGAAAGTGACAGGAAAGGGAGGAGGGGTTATTTGCTGGTTGGTATTAATAAAGAGCTAAGACTCATACAACATTTCAGCCCATAAACATCTCATCCCAATCTACCCAAACAAAAGCTTGCTACATGCCAGTCAAAAGCATCCCATATGCATCCCTCTTGGTCTGTGGACCTTGACAGCTGGATCCCTTGAACCAGATTTGAGCACATGGCCTTCAGTTCTATGCTTTGAGGTTAGAAGACAAGAGACCTCACTTTCCTCCCAGCCATGCAGGGTTGACTGACATCATTCCAGAGAATAATCAGTTCCAGGCTGCTCTTAGGAGCCACAGCCCATCCCTTTGTATCTATCAGACCTAACGGCCTTAGAGGGGAAGAATGGAGAACTGTGCTGAGGCGCTGGGACCAGCAGGCATCTGACTTTGCTGAATGTGGAGCTGCAGCCATGACCTGGAGAGGCCAGTCTCTAACCCCCTGCAAGCTAGATGCCCAGACCTGACCTATCAGCTGTGTCACCTCTACTGCCACTCCCACACCCTCAGCAAGGCTGGAAACCTTCCCAGTCCACCTGCAATTTGCCCCAGATGCTACAATCTGTGGAACGGCTGGACTCTTTCTATTTAGACAGTGAAACAGGAGCAACCTCTTTCTTCATCTCAATCTTTATAGATCTAGGGCAGAGATGGGTCATTTCCATCTTGCATTTCACAGCTTGGGAACTATATTAGGCAACCTGGCCATTGAGACAAGAAGTTTTGATTCTTCCTCCCCAGGTCAATTTATATTATTAACTTCTTTGAACCCCAAATCCCTTCTCTGTAAAATTATAATAATAATACCTTATTTGAAAAGTTGTTTGTATTCAGTGAAGACAATTACGGCAGAGTACCAAGCCCAGCGCTGGTTCACTGTCTACTGACGATAAATGTTGCCATTATTATTGATGTTCTTGTTTGTATTTTTAACTACAGAATCCTGGATAGGGAGGCAGGCCAATTCACTAAAAATCAATTCTTGAACTAACTACTTTGCAGAATGACAAAAATTTACAAACTGTAGTTTTAAGTAGTTTTAATGAAAATATTTTTATTACATGTAATCAAATATATTTTTCTGCATATTGGCTAAATTGAGCTTGATTGGCTACCTGATAAAATAATCCTAATAGAATGCTAAAATGGTGGCAAATAATAAATTTACTGGATGTACCAATATGAACCACTTTTTCCATCCAAATTTTTGGCATTCAGCATGTGACTTTTTACTTTTTCAGATGTTTTGTCATGAAATGATTCTTTCCAAAATGTAAGCACACTTAGAATCATTTTACCAATTCCCCGAATGGCATGTCAGCCTTAAATTACATTTTTAGCAAGTGATTTTTAGTTTAACTAATTTACATTGTAAAACACAGAAAATTAAATTTTAATTAAAATTCATTTAGAATTAGAATTAAATTGAATTTTCATTAAATGAAATTTAAAATGGAAGAGCATCAGAAATAAATCAGAATTAGCCAAGAGTCCTATCAGAGATAAAATGCTGATATTTTGGTTTCTATCAAGAATTTCAGAAACAGAAAGATAAGTAACAGTTTGCAGAAAGTTTCAACTTAAAAACAGAAAACTGCTCAAATCAACAGAAAGGTAGTAAGGATATTTTGCAGGGAACACTTTAATGGATTGGGTGATTTGTTCCTCAAATTAATTTGATATTTAGTCATGATCTATGTAAAGTTGTAAGGAAAGCTAAGGAATCTTAGCTTTAAAAATTAAAGCTAAGTTAAAGTTAAAAATCCAAAAAGACATTAAATTTAGATGCTAGAGTGTTAACAAACTGAAAGTGATGTTTAAAATTTTGAAACAAAAATCAATATAAACTGAAAAGTTTCTACTTGAATTGGTAAATATTAACTGTGATCAGAAAAATGTATTTAATCATCATGACTATATTTGGACATTTTTCTAAAAGTTGTTAAGCCATTTCTTTAAAGCTATTAGTTCTCAGCATATTCATCTCGGACCTCTGTAAGGGAAGGAAAATAAGCGATTTTAAATGCTCTAGATTCTGCTTCCTTCTGCATGACTTGGAGAGAGAGGTGCTGCAGCCTCATCCCAGGTGAGCATTGTGGGGGAGTCCTGGTAAAGGAACAAGACTGTCTGGACCCAGCTGGACCATAGGAAGTTCTACCCACTCCTCTCCAGCCACCCGAATGGAATACCTCTTTTTGTCCCATGTCCCTGCCACATCGTCTCTAGGGTCTGACTCAGGAATTCCACCTCTACTTGCAGGAAGTAGAAGCTCAACTGAAGGAAGGAACCACGGGGCTGAGCATTGTTGAGCCATCACTCCCGGGGTCCCCAGTGGGAAATGAAGAAAGAATTAAGTTACCAAATGATTAAACTGACAAAGAACCAAACTTATAGATTTAAAATAAAATAAAATGAAACACAAAATGGTTTTACCAGCTTGAAAAGCAATAGCTTAACAACTTTTAGGAAAATGTCCAAATATAGTTACTAGTGATTAAACATTCATCTCTGAACCTGGTGCAGTATCCTTCCTGGCCAAGATCTGTGTGGCAAGAGGCCTGGCCCACAGGTTTTACTCACATGAGTGAAAGGCAGAAGCTGAGACACACAAATCAGAATCACAGAATCCCGTCCAATGGAGCATATGGAGGAGGTGTGGACAGAAGGAGCCGAGGATGTAAGCAGGTGAAAGGCAATGACTGGAAGCCAAGATGAGATGCTAAACAAGACCAGAGAAACAGGATGAAATTGGAGCTTGCCTGCATGAATTCCAGGGACTGAGGTGATGAGCTAATACCACTGTGGTTTGGGTTTGTTGCTGGGGATTTCGTTGGTTTAAAGATAGGAGAGTAGAATTCACAGGCTCCTTTCTGTGGCCCAGCAGTGAGATTTTACCCTTCATTCATTCAGGCATCTTCCAGGCAGCCCTCCTCGGATTTCACTTGTTCTTGATTGAGCGCCCCTGGTACTCACCTAGATGAGGAACAGCAGAAGCATGAGCTTCGGATGTGGAATCAGAACGGCCTGGGACTCTCCAACGCCACTGTCTGTGAGACTGCAAAATTTACCTAACTTCCCGATGGTAGGCATCTGCAATACAGAGATAATTATACCAACTTCATAGAGTTGCTGAGAATACATGAGATCAAATATGTGAAGTGCCAAGAACAGTGCTTGATAAATAGTAGGTGCTTAATAATAGTGGTAGTAACCCCCTTGCCTATAAAAATCCCCCCCTGAGATGACTTTCCTTCTTACTCTTGATGTATCTGGCCTGATCACACTTCTTTCAAGAAACCTATCTCTTCAAATTAAGAAGTGAAACCCTGGGGTTGAGTTACACACGGTTGTATGTGATTGAATGCTTGTGGTTTGCTGCTTATCTGAGTCATTTGTCCTTCCAGACTTCCCCACCAACTTTCTTACTGGCACACAGATAAGATTAAACTTGTTATATTCAGTAGAAAAAAAAATCCCTTGCTTATTATAACTTCATAAAAACTGGCTCATGGGTATTTTTCATAGTTGCTCCCATTTTACTGACATTTTATGATGTATAATAACTAACAATAGCAAACACTTATAGTGGCAGCACGTTAAAAAAAAAAAAAAAAAAAAGCTGCCACGTGCCCAGGCAGCCAATTCTGCTAAGGCAATTGCATTTCTGAAACATACAGTGCCCACGATCAGATCTTTTGGTGAAACCATTATGAATTTAGTAGCTAGTCTCATAGGAGTTTCTAAAGGATTATTCTCTGAAAATTTTCTGGAATTATTTCCCCTGTGTCTTTTCAGCCTTTTAATTAACACTGAGTTATGATCTCTAACCTAGACATAGGGGACTCCTTGAGAAAGCTCATCGGTCCTTACTGCATCTTTATAGTATTTCCCAGGGCGGTATCAGTATCCCAGTCCCTGACCTGCCCAAGGCAAGTTGTGTTGAGTAATGTGTCCCAAAGGCTGTGGTCATGAGACTTCTCTGTAAGGGTGTATATACACTGTGCAAGAGATTTTCCAATATTTAGCACTTCCATGGAGTGAGTCTAGAAGCTATTAAAATTACTGGGGATATCAACTGAAAAAAAATGCATAACCTAAAAGTTGAGAATTATGTTTTATTCGGTGGATTTTCTGAGGACTTAAGCCCAGAAGACAGCCTCTCAGAGAGCTCTGAGGGACTGTTCCAAAGAGGGAAGGGAGGAGCCAGGATATACAGGAGTTTTTACAACAAAAACCAGGTAGTTGGAACATCAGATGATTACTGTTAATTAAAGAAAAACCAGACATCTCGGGGTAGTGAATTTAGAGCTTTTCTACGTACAGGAAGATGCAAGAGTCTGGGCCCATTGAAATCATTCCTTTGGCACCTTAACTATCTAGGGCCAGTATCTGGTTCTTTCCCATCCTGAATGCCCTCAGGGTGCACTGTTGAGGCAGTGGCTGACGACTTGGTGGCTGGCAGCCTGTTTGTCTCCACCCTGAGTTTCTTCAGAGCTCACCGTTGGAGCGGTTATAGTGGCTGATGGCTTGATGGCTGCAACATCCTTTGTTTCCTGATATGGCAAGTGACATTTTTCATCCACAGGAACATCTGCTTAGAGAATGAAGGAATCAGAATTCTTAGTCTTTCAGAATACTGAGAACATAGAAATGGTTGTGTTTGAGATGCCATGAGTAAACTGTTAAGGGAGAAGCATTTTCCTGGGACAGAATGAAAAAGAAAAGTCAAGAGATATAGATAGACACAGAGACACAGAGAAAGAGAGAGAGACAGGCAGACAGACAGACACAGAGAGAAACAGAGAGAGAGCTTTCCCACCAGTGAGTAAGAAGTTAGAGGAGGGCTAGGAAGCAGGGCAGAGAGGATGGCAGCACGGGACCAATGTTTTCCCATTCTTACTTCATTGTCCTGTTTCTCTGTCGCAGCACTTCTTCGTGTTATTTGCTGCGTCATCTTCTGTGGAGTAACGTGGTTCTTCAACCTGAACACGAACCCGTGAAGAGGGAAAGGGGCAGTGGAAGAGCCGCTCTCCTAGCTGCTCAAAGCACTCCTTTTCCAGAGTAAAGGGAGCGTCATTTTCCGAATATTCATTTTTTGAGATTATTTCTATTTAACTGGTTTCCAGAACAGATTTGAACTAGTTGGTTATGGTGTGATGGTCTAAATACCATTCTCCCAAGGGAAAATGCAGGTACATTCAGGTTAACTTTGCTTATACAGCAAAGGCAATCATTCCAATAGTTCAAGTTCAGAGATATGAGATGATAGTAACTGGAGTCTTTTTTCCTTTCCTCTTTTCTTTCTTTCTTTTTTTTTTTTTTGAATTCAGATGTAGAGATAATAATCTATTGCATAATTCAACAGCACATATTGAATATTAATGATATTCTACAGGTATTTAACACTTCTTATCTAATAACCCCAAAATGCTTGCTTTTAGCTATCACAACATATATTTTCTGTTAGCCTAATAGATTACAGAGGCACTTCCAATTCAAAGGTGTAAAGATGACAACTCATAAGAAACAATGTTAGGTCCCACTCTATCTCTTTGTTGTTATGAGGAAACTTCCTGCTTCAGACTGGCAGAAAGTCACCAAGAGGGCCAGGAGTAGAGGAAGAAACCGTGGTTTCAGTTTCTGAACGAACTCTCATCCGTAATGCCCTCCCCAATCAGTGAAGCTCTGGGGTCCCCCATCCCTCTGCATATACAAATTCTTTGGCACACTTCCTGAGAAACAAACTGATAGCTAAGGAAGATTTAGACCCTGACACCCACAGAAGGCAGGGGCTGTTTTAGCACATGCTGCACAGGACTAAGGATATCTCCTGCCGTCATATCTGCATACCTTGAAATTGAATTTTAAAAGGTCAGAATCTAGATATATAAACATTAAAAAATATTATCCCCTAACTTATTTGTTTAGCTTCTAACACGTGTTAATCTCCTTCTGTTTTATCTGTAGTTGTGGGAGGTCTATGCCCAGAGCCTACAGAGAGCCTTTGTCAGGGTGGCTCTGCACTGTCAGCAGAGGGGGCGGGGCTCTGCCTGGGCCCTGGCCGGGCTGGCAGCGCTGGGGTGCAGTCAGCACTGGCTCTTGTCCCGATCAGGCCACTTCTCAGCCTTGCTATTGGCCCAGAGACCAACTTTCTGCTGCCATGGGACAAGCCCGTGTCCTGCTGGCTGGTGGATACCTGATGTTGCTTCCATTTGCCATCCAATTCAGTCATCATCACACCACTTTTACAATCTGGACGCCTCAGCACATTCCTGGAAAAAATGAATAAATGTAAAAGATCATAAAGGATTTATTTGTATAGCTCTCAAGCCCATCAAAAAAAAAAAAGAAAGAAAGAAAGAAAAGAAAAAAAAAACCTGCTAAAAGCCATAGTATTTGCACTCAGTCAGGGAGAGAGTTAAAGAGCAAATCACTTCCCTTTAGGAGTATTTGCTGTGTTCAAAGATAATTAAGAAAGCAGCCAGACCTCTTGGAAGCTGATGCTTTCTGAAATAGAGAATTTCCAAATGCAAAGTGTTCCTGATGGCAAGATTAATTTCTTCTTGTGCCCCTGTGCATTCTTGATGTGGCATATATCCTGGGAAAGGCATAGGGCAAACTCAGAAGCTGAAGCTTGCCAAAGGATACATCAGTATATCCTGCCTTACCGTTTCCCATTCTCTCCACACTTCGGAAAGAAAAGAATGCAGCTTTTTTTCATCCATTACCAGCCTTACAGAAGAATAATAGTTTATTTGGGACAATCATGTCGTCCCCCCTTTAAATCCATAGACGTCTAATCCAGTGCAGACGCAGGGTAGAGACAAATTCATCTCTCAGTGCTGAATGTCTTTCTGAAATAACCCAGAGGAGTGGTAACCTGGGCCCAAAGCAAAAAATAATCTTTTTTATAATAAAGTGATTATATCTAAAGAGTGTTATTCCAATATAATATTTCAACGCTACCTCAAATCCTATTTGCTCTGACTGTGGAGGGGATTCAGGATGGAGAGAAACAGGATCCTGGCCCTAGGTAAGGTGCATACTGCTAAAGGACTGATTCCAAAGAGCCCAGACTTACATCTTCCCATATAGGAAAAGTGCTAAATTCATGAACTTGAGATGTCTGTTTTTTCTTTAATCAACAGTCATCTTTTGATGTTCCAACTGTCTGGTTTCGGTTGCAAACATTCCTCCATATGCTGGCTCTTCCTTTACCCCTTCAGAGCAGCCCCTCAGAGCTATGGGAGAGGCTGTCCTCCGGGCATAAGGCCTCAGAAAGTCTGCTGAATAAAACGTAATTCTCAACTTTTGGGTTGTCCTTTTTTATTCAGCCGACATGACTCTCTAGACAGCTGTCAGCTGGTCAGCTTCAGGCACTGGGCCCAGACCTCTGGATCCCCCTCTAAAAGGTCAATTCCTGCCATCTTATCTGAGTTTCTGGGTGTGGCGGGGAGGAGAAGAGCGACCGTGCAGTCCTGTGTCCACCGAAACCTTCACAGGTGATGACCTGATACACCCCTTCCTCCTTTCCTGTCCCCCACCTTCTCCCCTCTTCCTCCTTCTCTAACCCTTCCCCTCACTGGCAGCTTCCCTAAAAGATATTACTCAGCCATATAAAGAAACAAAATTGAGTTATTTGTAATGAGGTGGATGGACCTAGAGTCTGTCATACAGAGTGAAGTAAGTCAGAAAGAGAAAGACAAATACCGTATGCTAACACATATATATGGAATTTAAGAAAAAAAAATGTCATGAAGAACCTAGGGGTAAGACAGGAATAAAGACACAGACCTACTAGAGAATGGACTTGAGGATATGGGGAGGGGGAAGGGTAAGCTGTGATAAAGTGAGAGAGTGGCATGGACATATATACACTACCAAACGTAAGGTAGATAGCTAGTGGGAAGCAGCCGCATAGCACAGGGATATCAGCTCAGTGCTTTGTGACCACCTAGAGGGGCGGGATAGGGAGGGTGGGAGGGAGGGAGACGCAAGAGGGAAGAGATATGGGAACATATGTATATGTATAACTGATTCACTTTGTTATAAAGCAGAAACTAACACACCATTGTAAAGCAATTA